ATAATATCTAGGTCATCCCTATCGATCTGTCGATTCTGAGGCCTTGCAAAGGCCTGAGGATATCGACTTGCAAGAGCGAAAGCGGCTCAACGAGGGCCTCCGACGCCGCATGAAAAATCCACAAGGTTCGCAGCCAGGTTTAGCAACCTAGGCCCCTGCAGATGTATCCTTTGTGCATCGAGGACTACGAAAAGGATTGGTCGAGCAGTGGCAAGCGGCTACGTCTGCAACAGACAAGTGCCCAGGTCGCAAATTAGTTGTGGGTTCTGAATTGGTGTAGACGACCCCACATCTCAGGTTTACCTTCCTGAAAGCTTACCTCCTGGATCGCGATATGTCTGCGATTCAGATCGAACCGTACTTTGAAGAGCTACCTGGTCTCAGAATATGCTGTACTTTCGAACCCTGAATTGTGATCGCTGTTACTGTTGCAACTGATCAATTAAGGTTGAGCGAATCGAAGAACACGGAGAAGTTCCAGGAGTTGCCGCTGTGCGAAATTCGCATAAAGCATGGCCATCTGCCGGGTGGTGAACAGTTCATCAAAGACCTCTTGGCGAACCAAAAGGGAAAAGAGCACCCGCAAACGAGCGATCCCGAGTGGCGGCTGTACAAAGTTTTCGTCAGTGTCGACCTCGACAGACTCTAGACCGCATGTTAGATATACTTGTTGCATGCCATGCAACACCCGGCCCTTCCGAATCCGCCATTTCACATCCTGCCGAGGCGCCCAGATCAGCAGGGTCGGCTCAAAAACTTCGGCGACCATCAAGCCCAGCAACAACAGTGCAGAACGAGCGGCCTTGGCTGACACTTTGGGTCAGAAAGTTGCTCAAATGAGCAGCAGGCAGGTGGCTGCAGACGCCAAGCCAAAGAAAAACCCAACAAAGCCGAAGAAGGACATTGTGTGCACCTCTACATGTGCATATGGCCCTCGCAAGCCTAAACCCCAAAACCCTGGGTCCTATATCTGAAAACCCTAAACCCTATAAACCCTAAACCCTAAACCCTAAACCCTGATTGTAAATGAACACTCGATCAGGAGCTGACGGCCGAAGAGAAGCAGCAGAGGGACTTCCAAAAAGATCATACGTCGTTCCGAGCCTAAATATACGATCGCTTGGCTTGCTTATTGTCATGCATATATGCTTCAGTGCAATGCATTCCCAGGGTGCGAAATATGTCGGACAAAGCAGTCCTGCTGGCGACCTCCATCACTTCTGCTGGTATCCAGAACCAAGAGGCTGTCTGCTGTGCATGAATTTCAAGTCCTGCCCTGAGGTCCTATAGGGGTTTAGGGTCTAGGGTCTTGGTTTTTGGGGTTGAAGGGTTTAGGTCTAGTGGGTTTGTAGAGTTCCGGGTTAAGTGTTCGGGGTACCTTTGAAGCCTAAACTAAACCCTGAAACCAAGCCCGAAAGTGTACTTATACTGCACCTCAGAAAATGGTGGAGCACCTCGGCAAGATCGCCCAAGAGTGCACCTACATCTTCAACGAGATGCTCGGAGTGGCATTATATCGATCCGTGGCGAGCTCCGCATCAGATGGCCGTGCCTGAGTCATGTGTGCATGTGTCGATCCGAGGCTTCAGAGCATGGTCTTCGCCTGCAAGCCCTTGGATGATTGCTGCTATGCTCTGGAGAATTACAAGTCGGAGCTGCATGCTGCAATGTCTCTCGACTCCCTAAACCCTCAAACCCTAAAACCCTAGGATTCCCACGCCCCTTAAGTATACAACCCTAATATGCCCTGCAGGAGAAACAAAACGTCATCATCAATGCCGAAGACATCGTCGACTCGCACAAGAGACGTACTTTGGCTTCAAACATGGCATGTGCACATGATTCACAATAATGGTTGTCTGCTGATCATGCAGGCCTGGCAGCAGAGAAACGGAAGCGAGAGAAGGAAGAGAAGAAAAAGAATGGCGGCGATGATGAGGATGAAGAACCAGAGGACTACCATGATGATGCTGCCCAGGAGCCCGAGGCGCCACCGAATGACGATCCTTGGCCAGAGGACGAGGAGCCGCCTGCAAAGCGGGCGAAGTGAGACTTTCTTCCTTTGTTTGGGTCTGCAGGGCCGGAGTGTCAATGGTATGCAGCAGGCAGTCTAGATAGTCGTGCATGCTGTGCATATATGTACACACTTGCTTTGCCGGGGTCACCGAACACTCGGCCCTGTCCAACCATGCATACACGTATGCATGGGTGCTGTGTTCCTGCGACTGCAAAGCTCTTGATGAGTCCGCCAAAAAAATAGTTCGGGAAACGTCTGCTGCCTGCATATAGACCATGCAGCATGAAGTCGCAGTGGATCGATCAGCCAACACGCCCCGCCTCAGCTTGCCCAGGTGGCCCTTAATGTGTGGATTCGAAACATGTGGCATGCACTGACGGCCCGTGTAAACCCTACACCTTTGCAACCCTATAAACCCCAAACTCTAACTGATGTAACTCCCCAACCTGAAACCCTAAACCCTGTACCTTATATATATCTCTAACTGATGTAACTCCCCAACCTGAAACCCTAAACCCTGTACCTTATATATATCTCTAACTGATGTAACTCCCCAACCTGAAACCCTAAACCCTGTACCTTATATATCTCTAACTGATGTAACTCCCCAATCCGCGAACCATGGCGAGTACATGTGCGAGCTGCTGTTGCCATGTCCGATGGTGAGTACATGGCAAGATCCAGGTGGCCCAGTTGTGCACTGGTGGCCCATGCAAGCCCGAAAAAAACAAATAAAACCTAAACCCTATAAACCCTATAAGCCCTAAACCCCAAACCCCTAAACCCCAAACCTAAAAAGACAACCAAACCCTTGAAACTCCCATTGGCACTG